TCTGGCTTCCTGGCTTTTAATCCCCTTTCTCCTGCTCTTCTGGCCTGCTTCTTCGGGCATCCCTGAGTTGTCTCTCCTCACCTGTATCCCTGGGGCTGACTGCTCTTCTGTCCAGGTTCAAGGCTTTTATCCCCTTTCTCCTGCTCTTCCAGCCTGCTACTCTGGCGTCCCTGCGTTGTCTCTCACCTGTAAGCCTGGGGCTGACTGCTCTTCTGTTCGGGTTCAAGGCTTTTAGCCCCTTCCCTGCTCTTCCGGCCTGCTACTCTGGCGTCCCTGCGTTGTCTCTCCTCACCTGAAAGAGATTAACAACCCTCCCATACCTTGCCCTATATCTCTTGGTATGTATTTGTCATGGATTGAATTGTGTTCAATTGTGTCAACTTGACTGGGCCGTGATTCTCAGAGGTTTGGCCATTACACAATGATGCAATTTGGCTGTTAAGTAATAATGTAACCATCCCCCATGATACGATGTGATCAGCCAATCAGTTGTAAAGGAATTAGGGTGGGATGCAACATCCTAACTTAGGTCACAGCCTTGATCCATGTAAGGAGTTTCCCCAGGGTGTAGCCTGCAACACCTTTATCTTACAACACATAAAAGGACAGAGAAACAAGCAAAGAGGGACCTCAGTTCTAGGAGTGGAACACATGCTTTGTACACAGGGTCCCTGCACTGAGAACTTGCTAGACCCAGGGTAAGATTGATGCCAAGACACAGAGATTGCCAAGAAATGCCAGGCCCACAGATGTTGAAAGGAGAGTGGGCCTTCCCCCAGGGCCAATAGAGAAAGAAACTCTTCCCTGCAGTCAGCACCCTGAATTTGGACTTCTAGCCTCCTATTCTGCAATAAATTTCTGCTTGTTAGATGCATCCACTTGTGGTATCTCTGTTTTAGCAGCACTAGATAACCAAGATTGTTTCCTTTCTGGCTATAGTCATTAAGCATAAATTGTGAATCATTCCAGTGAATGACTGAACTCACAGGGGTAGTAGAAGACAGCAGGTCAGAAATTAAGGGTGTCATATGGACTGAGCTTGCAGCCAGCATCCTGAAGACATAGTGGGAAATCAGCTCCAAACTTGTGGTCAGCAGGTGTCATGCAGATTCCCTAAACTTGTGGCTTGCATCTATTTACCTATTTAGCAATCTGAAGGATAATATCCTTTTGTCATCTCTGACCTACCTCCAAGTGGCTAGAAATGTGAACAGCGGATCAATCTTTGTATTTGGGGGACTGGATTCATGCTGTCCCTTACTGTGCAACACCAAAAATAAGATAAATAACTTCATGAAAATTTGAAAATGTTTGTGCTTTAAAGGATACCATCAACAAAGTGAAAACACAGTTCACTGGAGAAAAAAAAAATCTCCAAATCATACAAAAAGGGACATGTACCTAATGTATAGAGAACTCTTCAACTCAGTAATAAAAAGACAACTTAATTTTCAAAAAGGACAGAAGATCTAAACAGACATTTCTCCAAAGATGATATACAAGTGGCCAATGTGTACATGAAAAGATGCTCATTATCATCAGACATGAGGAAAATGGAAATCAAAACCACAGTGATCACACCCACCAGGATGGCAATGTCAAAGACATGCAATAACAAGTATTGGTGAGCATGTGGAGAAATTACCATGTCCATACACTGCTGGTGAGACTGTCAAAATGTTCAGCAACTTTGGAAAACAGTTTATCAGTTCCTCAAAAAACTAAACATAAGTCACTATATAACCCAGCAATTCTAGTCTTATATATCCAAAGAGAAATGAACGTCCACCATAAAACTGTCCTCAAATGTTCAAGAAACTGCATTATTCATAATAGTCAAAAAGTGGCAATTACCCACTGTACAGTTAAAGGTGATTTATACAGTATATGAACTACACTTATCAATCAAGGTCATATGCTTTAAAACTTCTGTGATGGGTTTTGGACTCAGACCAACGAGATGGATAGTTCATTGTCAATGCCTGTTGAAATAACTTGCTTGATCCAGGAGCACCAAGATCTGGACCGGATGAGAAGGGACACAAGTGATTTTTCATTGCTAATCTACTGTATGTTAAATTTTATTAAATAACATAGCTCTACAAAACTATTCTGTAAATGAAACAAACTGAATAAAAAGTGGGTTTAAGGGGAACTGCAGCAAGATCCACTCCAGGCACAATGCTGAATATTCTTGTTTTAGCGTATATCATAAAATGAAGTCAAGCTATAGTTTCATCCTAGTGATGAGTTCACCTGATGAATCCTCATATACTTCTTATGCCCCATTTCATACTGCCAATAGAAATCCTACATCTAATTCATTTTCTTTTTCCCCCATTACCATGGTTTAGGAACTGAAACTGTAGCTTTAGAAAATTATCCAATGTTCCTAAGTCTCAGTTATAGAATCCTTTAAGCTTTTCCTTAAAGAAAACTAAGAAACCAGTTGTTCTGCATGCCTTTTAAGAGAATCTTCCTGTCCTACTTCTCTCCCAACCAATACACTAACCTTATTTAAACAAAGGTGAGCATCAGTTCTCTGAAGATTGTGAAATGAGCCTGGGATTTGAGGCCCACCACACTCTACCTCCAACTTACCTTTCCTGTCTTCCCTTCTACCATTCTTCTACCCACCTCAAACTGTTTCAATTCTCTACAGACTATTTCTCAAACTTGGCTCAAGCTTCTCTTCCATCATGTTGTTGCACACATCATTCCCTTCCTTGTAAACACTACCCTCCCTCACATCTCCATTAAGTCTTTGTCTAAATCTTACTGTTGAGACTCAGTGGACAAGCTCAACTCTTCATATAGTGTTTCCTAACACTAATGTACCTATAGGAAATAATGTAAATCCAGTGCCATGGAACAGCCAAGAGTGGCACACCCTTCCCATAGCACTGAGAGCAAAGGCAAAGCGCACAGTGCTCTTTGTCTCCCCTTATAGAATATATGTGCTATCTGAGTAAGTCATGTGAGATCTTAAAATATTACAGCAATCATTCATTTAAAATATTCATGTTTCTAAATCATATAAACAATTTTAATGCAAGCATTCAATAGGGCATTTTTCCCATTGCTCCTAAGATTTCATCTCTTTCTGCTGCTGTCGGCATAGGTGGCTTCATTCCATTCTGTCTTCTCTGAACCATGACAGAATTCTGCATGTAGGCATTAAAAAAAAAAAAAAAAAAAAATCAGTAATGTATTAAATACTAATCATTTGCCAGTAATTTGCTATTGCTACTCAAAATGAAATCCTAAAACCAAGTTAAAAAACAAAACAAAAGACCTAATTCTGGTACTCCAGATAAATATTTTTAAATTATTAACAATTACATAAAAAACCTACTGCTTTTGAGTCGGTTTTGACTCACAGCTTCCATTTAGGACAGAGGAAAACTATCCCATAGGGTTTCCAAGGCTGTAAATCTTTACAGAAGCAGACTGCCTCGTATTTCTCCCCTGGAGTGGCTGGTGAGTTCAAACCACTGACCTTTTGGTTATCAGCCGAATGCTTTAACCACTAAGCCACAAATGCTCCTCTGACAAGTAAATAGAAGCGATTATTTCCATAGGGCTCTGGTAGCATAGTGGTTAAAGCACTTGACTGCTAACCAGAAGGCTGGCGGTTCAAACCCACCAGACACTCCTCGGAAGGAAGGTTGGGCAATCCTACTTCCGTAGGGATACTGCCTCGGAAACCCAAGGAGGGGTCGCTATGAGTCGGGGCCGACTCGACGGCACATGACAACAATAACAAATATTAACAGTAATTGGGCTGAAGATAACATTGTGTAACCACAAGAGCACAAGAATATATATATTCCACCAAGAAAAACTACCAAGTAATTGATAAATAAAACCAATAGTTAACGTAGCAAGGGGAAAGGAAGTAGCTGGATCCAGTGTGCAGAGAAACAGTAATTAAGTACCAATGTCTTAGGCAAAATGAGACCATTAAATTGTAACAAGGTATAGTTCAAGGCTACCTACATTAGAACCACATTCTTACACCTTTGAGTAGAATGAGGCAGCTGAAAATGGCTCTAAAGGATCCTTCAGGAATAAAGAATAAAGTTTAAAAATTACGTTTCCCTATATCATTCAACAGGAAAAGATTGTGGGTATTGATTACTTTCTGGCCTCAGTTTCACAAAGCTAAACAAGCTAGGCTTACCCAGAATTTCCGGCAGTTTTTGTATTTCAAGAAGGAAGTTGAACACTTTTCCTTGTCATAGTTATTTTCATCCATACATCTGGTAGAAGCATCAGATTCCTTTAATCGGTAAGAAAGGCATCACTTAAGAGTTGCAATGAGATCTTAAAGCAAAAAAACAAAAAACTTCTGAAGCTACTTCCCCTGAAAGCAAGTAATACGAAATTATTCATTTCTGTTTAATACGTAGATACTAATAAACACTGAATTATCTTCCAACCCTCTTTCTGCTCAGGGTAGACAGCTTCTGGGTTAGTTTTCTGAATACTTAGTCATAGGGATTTCAGCCAAAGCACCACCCTAAGATTATTTAATGTAGTGACCATTTAATAAAGAAACCAAGGCAAGATGTAGTATGGTCAAAATCACTGCTGCAGACCTAAAATGAGAAGCCAATCTACCAATTCACAGCACAGCTGCCTTGCTTTTCAAGTTCTCATCTTGACCTGAAGGTCTGATCTTAGGTCTGGTTTGGAGAGTCTAGCTAAATCACTAATAACTGGTATATATCAAGGAGGCAACCTAAATTAACACCACTCATCACTATGCATTTTGGCTATCATTCACTCTATTACACAAGTAAATATACTATTTGTAAGCAATTTTAATAGATATTATTAATATCACTTCAAAACCAAAGTAAGCAACAAAGAGCTGAGTTCAAAGGAAGGAAGCTGCCATGAGGGAATTAAATTTAAGCTGTTTGAACTGGAAGTAGACCACATAACAAACTTCAAAGTGAAAGGTATGATTCTGAGAAATCACCCAAAGGAAAGCTTTAACTAAAAGGGTGGGTAATTTGCTTTCATGGATCTAAGAAATATGGTCTATCTGAACAGACTTCCTAATAAAGCTGTTGAAAACTGATCTTATATATGGAAAAAAACTAAATTTCTATGCCAAATATTTAATGGATGAATTTACTTGGAAAATGTATATAGGATGGAGTATAATTTTCAAAGTACCAATTTGAGGACTGCATTATTCAAAGCTGGTAAAGCTACAAATAGGTATTGCAGGTCATATCAAATGCCAAAAAACAAAACCTTACAACAAAACACCTTGTTTATACGATACTTCTGTGAAAACTTCTAGGCTTTAAATAGGCTAATTCTCTTAGCAGCCCATTACTCTCAGTCTCTTTTTCTCCAGGACATGAAGAAATTAGCGTATTAAAACATAAATTTCAGTAGCAGTTTAAAAATGTCATACCTTCCAATTTTCCATGTTTAGACTAAAGATTTTCCTTAGTGTTATACATGCCTGACTAATATTACAGTGATAATTAATCTGTGAGTATTATACAAACAAGGGAAACTAAGAAAGAGATGAATCTTTTGTCATTAAATTTTGAATATCAAAATACGCTCTAGTTAAAAAAAAAGATACACTGGCCAGGAATATTTTCTGTACAGAAATAACTTTATTCAACAACTACAAAAGACAAATGTTCAAATATCAGAAAGAGGTTGCTCTTTCTTTCTTTTTTTTTTTTTTTAATTTTATTTTATTTAGATTTGGGTGAAGATCCACAGAGCAAATTCACTCTCGATACAGCAGTTCACATACACTTTGTCTCATGTCATTGACCACAGTTTACCACAATGCAACAGCTCCCCTCCAACTTCCTCCCCAAGGTACCACTTCCCAGTGTCCATCCCTCCATACTCTCCTGCCCCCTAAGCTGTCTCCCTGTGCATAAGGTGCCCTTCCTTCTCCCATGATTGTTCTCTCAAGGGCATGTGTCCACTTGAGGTAAATGTTCAACTCACATACCTGTACTTTGCTTGGCTGGAAACCACAGGTGTGGTCTCAATTCCAGACCTGAAGGGTAGCTAGGGGCCATAGTCTCAGTGGTTCCACCAGGCTCTATTGGACCAGCAAACCTGGTCCCAACCATCCCCCCCCCTTTTTTTTTTTTGAGAGGTTGCTCTTTCAACTTAAAACTCATAAAGGTTAAAAGCCAACCTACCAACAAGCAAGGGTTTATGTCAGGATCTCTCAACCTCCGCATTACCATGGGCATGCTAGCAGTCTTCTTATTCTGCAGGTAGAGGTTGGGAAGAAGAGTGGATGGGAAAAAATAAAGCTTATTAGCTCCATTATGTTCTTGAAAAATTAATTTTGGCATAATGAGTATCTAACGAAGAATCCCATGCATGTACTATCTTTTGAAAATAAAGACTTGAGCATGTCTTTCATTTCTATTGCCCTTGGTGCTTCAATACAGAAACCATATTTAAATGCATCCACCAAAAGCTGATTAGAATATTCAATAAAAACACTGTAGTTTAGGCTTAAACGGAAAAAAAAACAAACTCACTGTCACTGAGTTGAGTCCAACTCATAGTGACCCCCCACTGGGTTTCCGAGGCTGTAAATTCTTTATGGAAGCAGATCGCCCCATCTTCCTTCCATGGAGCAGCTGGTAGGTTTGAACTACTGATCTTCTGGTTAGCAGCCAAATGCCTCATCCACTACGCCACCAGTGCTTCTTAGTTTATACTTCTAAATTTTAAACAAATGTATTAAGAAAACTGTAAAACTCTAGCGATTACTTCCTTATTATACATCCATTAAGGCACTCTGGTGGTGTGATTAAGGCATTCCAGTGCTAACCAAAAGGTTAGCAGTTCAAATCTACTACCTGTTCCATGGAAGAAAGATAAAGCAGTCTGCTTCTGTAAAGATTTACAGCCTTGGAAGCCCAATGGGGGTCGTTATGAATCTGAATCAACTTGATGGCAGTGAGTTTGGTCTGGCTTTGGATACAATGACTAGCAAACAAAATAAGCATGGCCTAACTTAGTACAATCCAACTTTAGCAAGAACACATATCATGTCAAGTACCTGAGTGCCTACTCTGTGGCCAGCATGGAGGACAACATATAAAACAGCCAAGAAACTGCTTAGCTGACATTCTGAAAAGCCATAATGTGCTTACAAAAACAGAAAAAAAAAAAGAGAGTAACTTCACTTCCAATGGCATCTTCTACCTTCTCCTTAACTGATAATTCTGTGGTACAAAGGAAGTCAGGGGATGTTACTGTGGTTCAGTAATCTTCCAACTGAAGTCTTAAGAGATACAACGCTGCAAAAATTTTTATTGGTTAAGATGACCACAGTTCATCAAATGCTAATTAGTTATACCACATCAAGACATGTAACAGGTATGTCAGCTATATCACAGGGCAACTGCTTTCTATGATGGAGTCAATTTAAATTGTTATGCCTATTTCCTTTAAAGAAAAGTCATGGAAATAAATTATTTCAAAGTGTTTTTTTGTTTTAATATATGGGTATACTACTGACAAACTAACTCACAAACATTTTAACATGCTTTGTACTAAACTTAAGGAGCTGATTTAACTTGTACTCCTGAATACTGTTCTAGCTTAATCAATCTTCCTCCTAAAGATAGAACCCAGCAAATAATGTAGTATGACCTACTGAATAAAGAATGCATCAGTCAGTATTAGTTACTACAGATCAGAACTTTTGTATGAAACAGTTTTTACATTCTACGCCCAAGATGAGATCATCAGAAAACTGTCATGCTAACAGAAATAAACTGTATTCCAAAAAAACAATCAAACCCCCTAAGATTCTGAAAAGTATAAGTAATGTCAACCTAGAGTCACCTCGTCCAGTTTCTCCTATTAGGGGAAGATCCAGGCTAAAGAAAACTAACCTTTGCAAACAAAGATGGAAAAGGGATGCATCATTCTGAAGTCTTTCATTTTTAGTACCTACTAAACAACCATTTGGGAGCTCTGGTAGCATAGTGCCTAAGGCACTTGACTGCTAACCACAAGGCTGGCTGTTCAAATCCACCAGCCACTCCTCGGAAGGAAGGTCGGGCAATCTACTTCCTAATGATACCGCCTCGGAAAGCCAAGGAGGGGTCCCTATGAGTTGGGGCCGACTTGACGGCACATAACAGCAACAAAAAGTAATCATTTTATTTTATGATTTTCATTGAACACTACATGAAAATGTCTGGCTAACAGAAATGTCTTGGCAGAAAGGAAATTCAAGACGCTATTCAATTACATTTAGAAGCTTCTTCCTTTCCTAACACAAATCTTTTGCAGACTTCTTCCTAAAAGAGATGATGGTACTGAGTAAATTCATAGCATTCTTTTTATATTTATCCTGCAGTGCAGGAACACAACTCTGTTCAGCTGTTCATATATCTGGATATAATCTCAACAACAATCAGATACAGACAAAAATGAGGTTGCATGCCTTACATGAAAGTGTTCTACTCTGTGTTTTGGCATCATCACCAGTCAGGAATTCTTTTAAAATAACACCTAGGAACAGCACACATACTTGGATCTGGTTTGCAGCATGAATTTAATCACATTTCATTTCCTTTTCCTTCTGAATTCTAAATACAAGTCAATCTGAGTTTGGATTTCTGAATGTCATTCTCTCTGCATGAATTCCTAAAGTATTAACTGGAAGCAAAAAGGAAATGTCAATTTAGAACGAGGTACAGGCTGAAGGGCAAGATAGAGTGTTCTGCTAAAGAGGCCTTATCAATTTACTTTTCTTGACGGTATTAAACAAATGCTACAAGGACTTGCTTGCAGAGAATAGCCAGAAAACAAACAAACAAATAAAAATCAGAGATGGGCCACAAAACCACAGCACATTTGAGAGGAATAACTCTCAAATCTACTCGAAAGAGCAAACTGTTTAAAGTATGTTTTCATTTCCCCATCCAACTATTCACATCTGCTCTCTCCAAGTAGGTCTGAAAGGGAAGAGGGGAGGGAATGTTACTGAACACGTTCATGCCCACAAGTTGGTCAGAGCTGAGGCAGGGTCTGTGGTTATGATAAAATGCAGATGCGCCCATCGGTAAGTTGACACACACCTTGCGGGAACCTAAAGCCCTTAACTTACAACTTACTGCCGGGTGCGGAGAGGCAGGGTGCAAGAAATCAAGACCTCCCCTATACCGGAGGGATTGGGGAGACCGATTGGAGAGGCTGGACAGATGGGAATCCGAAGTCTTGCTTCTCTCCACAATACTGCCTGTCCGCGTCTAAGTCGTGGATGAAGAACACAGGTGAACACACACCTTGCTTCGGCCTTAATACAGGGAGGAGCAAGGCAAACTGGAGGAAGATTGGGGGTGGGGGCAGGGGAGACAATTTCGCTTCAAAGGCTGGAGCCAAGGAGGCTGAAGTAAGAGCTTGCGATGCCCGGAAGGGCAGTGGTCACCTTCTTTGCCCGAAGCCTGTAAAAGACCCAGCTCTGAGTGGGGGGTGGGGGCGAGGAGCGACGGAAAGGGGCCTATAAGTGGCGGGGCGCACCTGGGCGGCTTCGCACCGCAGACACAGACTCGAGCGCAGTAAGCAGCCTGGATGCGTCTCTCTCTCCTCTTTGCCCTTAGCTGCCGCTAAGGGAGGGGCGGGGGGAAACCACTCACCTCAGACGCAGCTGCAACAGGGCCCAAGCCATCTCCAGCTCCAAACACGTCAATGGCTCACGCAGCAGAGCCTTAAATAGTGCGCATCCCAACATGCTGTCCCCGTTCCCCGGCGACCTCTCGACCAATCGACGCGCGCCTCCCTTAGATTGACTGCCGTGAGAGGCCCTGGGCGGCGGGGGCGGGCGCGCCTGGCCCCGCCCCCGGTCCGAGAGGGGAAGGC